TGTGGTCGGGAAGGGTCAGAAGCAGGAGGATTGGACAGTCAAAAGCAGAATCTGGCGAACCTTCATGTTCAGTGGGACTTTCTGCATCAAAATAAGAGTGGAAAAACAGCAACAGAGTACAGTTAGCAATGATGCTAACTAATGACGACGTAACCGCGTCAGCCTCGTTTGTTCAGAGTACTTTCAGAAAACGCAAAGAAACGGTTGCATGAGGAAAAGGAAATATGCTTAAAGTAAATAAAATACACTCACCATCAACTATTAGTTTTTTAAGCTTTCCTCTTTGCTTTGGTGTGCGATGGAAGCCCTGCACCGCCATCTGCGCAGACACCTCTTGAAAAATCTTTTCATTTCGTTTTGTTCCATCTAGCTTGCGCTGCACTTGTTCATCGGCCAGCAAACACAGAAATGCCTGAACTTCAGCATTCGACCACGGTTGTGCCATGATTATTTGTTTTACCTTATAAAATATTCCAAAATAAGCTCCTCCGATTTCTTGTTGTCTGTTATGCGGGTGAAAAAGAAAATGGTGGATTTTGATTTCCGGTGGAAGACTGAATCTCCGCCCTCCACCAATGAATACGCCCCCTGACCAATCAGTGACCTACAGTGCGCTGATGTCACAACTAGACCCTACAAGAACCAGACCTGGGACCTCAGTGATTTAGGTCCCAAAAATGGGGTGGGTTCCACCACTAGAGGCATTGTTGATAAATCACGCAATCGGCCACAACTAGTTACATAGGAGTACCAAAAAGCCCCGTGGATAAGGGGCTTAACAGCCCGTATCAAAGGGCCTGGTACCCCATACTCCCAGTGTACCCCCCACAGGGTTCCCCGAGGGATGTGGTTGAACGCCTTCTCCAAGTCCACAAAGCACATGTAGACCGGTTGGGCAAACTCCCACGCACCCTCCAGGACCCTACTGAGGGTGTAGAACTGGTCCAGTGTTCCACGACCAGGACGAAAACAACACTGCTCCTCCTGAATCCGAGGTTCGACTATCCGACTGACCCTCCTCTCCAGAACCCCCGAATAGACCTTACCAGGGAGGCTTGGGAAATTAACATGACCTTTAAAAATGCTTGTTAGCAAGAATCAACAGATAAAATTAATTTATTCTAGGTGATTACTCAAACCAAAAATGAGATGCAATTTAGAACATTTGGAATTTTCAGCAGGGCAGATTAATCATGCAAATTTAACTAAAATAAAGATGTTTTATCGTTCAATAGTTAAAATTTGGTCTGAATTTTAAGGAAAAATAATTACTGAACTGAGTTAATACTAATTTGGTTAAAATCTAAATTCTTGGACACCAGAGTCAACCTCTAGAGTATAGATCAACTGTTCCTACCAGAAGTCATCTTCGAACGGCCGCCTGAAGACACCAGATATTGGACTCTTTCTGCTCAGATGATCTTTGATGTAAAAGTGGAAATTCCTTTACATCCCTGACATCAAGACGGTGAATTTGGTCACTGGCTCTAATGGTCAACCAGGGCGTCTCCTGGAGTTCTGGACAGCTGTTGTTAACTCCGTTGATGACAACTGCAGGCGTCTGGGGCGCTGAAGAGGGTTCTGTCAAACTTTGCTAAAGTCCATTCTTCTTAGTGGAAGTTTTTGTAGGTTGTGTCTTAAAAGATTACTCCTTCTCCTCCTCTGGAGGTCTTCATCACTTCTTCTCCTGTCCTCGCTCTCATTCAACTTTTTCTCTCTCCATAGCCAACTTCTCATAGGTTCTGAAGGAGTCGCCTCACCTCCATGAATGCTACTTATGCCTTTGCCACGGTTAGGGTGTAGTCAGATGTGATGATGAATGAGTCCTTGAAGTGAAGCGGATCACAACTGCGTGCACATTGTAATATCTCCACATAATCTTGTTAATAATGCAGTTTGGCCACGATAACTCTTGGTTTATCATCTGATCTCCTCCCTCCTAGCGTCCGGTGCAAGTGGTCGATCAGAGGTGGTTTGCTCAGCAGCAGCACGTCTGTTAGCATCTTAGCTATTACTACAGGGATGCTCAACTCTGGCAATTCAGGAATGCCTATGATCCTAATGTTGTTTCTTCTCATATGACCCTCCACAGTCTCAAACCTCCTTTTCAACCAATCCACCTTGTTCCTCTGTTATGCCACGGTGCCGCGCAGAACTTCCACTTCATCTGATCAGTTAGATAGCCCGTTTTTAGCTTCCTTCACACTGAGCCTCACCTTGTCGGTTTCTGCTCTGAAGGCTGTGATGCTGTTAATGACCTCCGCATTCACAGCTTGGAGCTCACCCTTAATAAAGTTAAAATCATCTGCCAGAGCAGCTTCATCTCCAACCAAATTACTGCTGAAAATTTGGTTTTTATTGAAGCCAGAATGTCTGACTTCAGGCCAACTCAACAGTCTCTCTAGAGCCCATTGAGGGCGGAGCCGATTCTCCTGTTTCAGAAGCATTGCGGTCCAAGGCTGTGTTAGGCCCAGTGGCCATAGAGCCTGCAGCCTTTGATTTCTTGAATTTGGAGGTCATATTGTAGCTCTGTTGATTCCATCCTGTGACAATGCCAATCTCAGAAGAATCCTACGTGGAGGAGACAAGAATATAAAAGGCAGTTTTTAAACAGAGCTAACGGGAGTCAACAGAATGTAGTTTATTGTTCTGCTGCCATCTTGAATCCCCTCTCAAAATATGGTAAATGGACTGTACTTATATAGCGCCTTTCTATCTTATCGAGATACTCAAAGCACTTCACAACACAATCTATGCCCTCATTTACCCATTCATACAGCACTCTACTAGATCTCTACAAAAGTGTTTCTTTCAGTTCCATCAGTCTCTTCATGTTACAGCCACCATTATTTAATCTTTTCACATTTTATTGTTGTTTTAAATTAAGTTGCATGTGAAATTTGTTTGTTGCTTTTCTGTTTTAGTTTTTTGAGCACTTAGTGTTACACCTTGGTTTATGAACAATGTTTTATAAAGTTTGATTGAATGATTTTTCGAAAATGATTGTCTGATCTCATCAAAAATGTCAATGACTAATTCTCTTAATCATGTCTTTTCATATGAAAAAGCATTTTAACAAGGTTGAAATTTTAAGTGAAACTTTTTCATTCATTCATTCAACATTTATTTAGACAAAGACATCACATTGAGCCTCGAAAACTCATTTACAAGTGAGACCTGGTTAGACGGACAAAAAGTAATGAAAGTGACACATGTATAGGATTTGGAGGCAAAAAAAAAATCCTATCAAACTCTTTCTCCTTGACTGAGGAGAAACACCGTGATATTGAAAAAAAAAAAACACACATAGGCACAAAGTGACGTAGACATTCCGCAGGGGAGGAGAGATAAGAGTGGTGATTGTGTCAAGGACACTCCAGAGGAACTGTGAGAGTTCTGATAAGAATGGTAAAATCAGTTAGTTCCCTCTGGTGAGACCCGTAAACACTCTCATGCCGAGGTCAACTTGGAACAGTGCCAGAGAGAATCCGAGAGTCCTGAAACGATGACACAATGTTTATTTAGATGGGTCCCTCTGATAGGTCTGCAGACTTCCTCTGTGGGAGGGGAAGGGAGGGGGGACTGAATAAATTGAATTTGAATTTATTATAGCATTTGAAATAATTACTTTGTTTGTTGCACTGACTGAAGAGAAAGTTAATCCATGCTTTGTGTTAACAGTGGAGACAAGTTTCATGTCCTGGACTCATCTACCCGAGCCATGCTGAGGACTGAGGATCATGATGACCAGGGCCAACTACTGGCCAATGTCTTTACTCTAAAAATGTTGGAGAACCAAGACAAGTGTTCAGTCCTCTACATGATCCAGACCTCCAGTATGTGAGTATCAGAGGCACAATAAGTGTTAGACTAAACGCTCTGTTAAATGTGACAGCTGTAATTAGTTTTCAAATATTCAGTTAACTCATTTTTATTGTGATGATTCAAGTTCCAATTTTAGAGTAATGCAACATTTCTGACAAAGTTTTTTAGAACACATACACAGTATTGAATTAAAAATCTCAACAGACTGAAGTCATAAACTGAAGTACAAGTATTACTATAAACTACAAGTTTACTCCATGTCATGTAATTTATTTATTTATTCCAGCAACCATACATCATACATTTTTAGTCCTTAGACTAAATTACCTTAATCTATTTATTATGTACTCAAGTAATTGATATACAAGTATTTCAGCTGATGCTTTTGTTACTCTATATCTTAGCTAACTATTATTTAGCTCATTTCAGATATGTTGTACAAATATGCTGTTATTCTCCAAATAACAAGACAATCACAGCTGTCTAACAAATTTAAAAGAAAAATTAACTTTTTTTATTTAGTACACTGAACAATTGGACCTCAGGTTTCATGGACAAATATAAATGTGTATCATCAGCATAACAATGAAAATTTATCCCATGTTGTTTAATAACATTTCCTAATGGAAGCATATATAAAGTAAAGAGTATTGGTCCAAGCACTGAGCCCTGAAGAACTCCATGATTAACTTTGGTGAATGAAGAAGATTCATTATTTATATTTACAAACTGGATTCTATCAGCTAAAGATAGAGGACTTTACTAATTGGCTGTGTCTCCGCACCATCAAAAATTTGATGGTGCGGAGACACGCGCGTAATCAACTGACCCATCTGTCCATCCATTTTATTTACCCGCTTCTTCCTTTTTGGGTAGTGGGAGTCACTGGTGCCCATGTCCAGCCATCACTGTGAGCGAGGTGGGGAACACCTGGACAGGTCTCCAGTCCATTTCAACCAGCGAGTCAGCGGACGCGTAGCCGCTCACGTGCAAAGCCGGTAACAGCTGTAGCTGCGTGAAGCCGACACCCCACCCACGTCAAAAAAATAAATAAAAAAAGCAAATACTATGAGCAGCACGGTGGCGCAACTGGTAGAGCTGCTGCCTCTCAGTTAGCAGGTCCCTGGTTCAAACCCCGGTCCAGGGGCCTTTCTGGGTAGAGTTTGCATGTTCTCTCCGTGCATGCGTGGGTTTTCTCCGGGTGCTCCGGTTTCCTCCCACAGACCAAAAACATGCATGTTAGGCTGATTGGTAACTCTAAATTGTCCCTAGGTGTGAGTGAGAGAGTGAATGGTTGTTTGTCTCGTTTGTCTCTATGTGGCCCTGTGATGGACTTGCGACCCGTCCAGGGTGTACCCCGCCCCTCGCACAGTGATTGCTGGACATGGGCACCAGCGACCCCTGTGACCCAAAATGGAATTAAAGCTGCAAGCAGCGTTGAAGGCCCTCGCAGCGAAGCGCCGCTGCGGCCTTACGGCGATCGCGGGAACTCCAGCGACTCTAAAGATTTTAGTAATGTTTTTCTTTCAGAAAAAAAGAGAAGTGGGTTCAAAATGACAGTTTAGAAAAAAATAACCAAATTAATTGTGAGAAGAAGGCACGCAAGGAGAAACTGCTTCAGCAACAACCTTCCACACCCAGCCCTGGCAAAAGGGCAGTGTCAGATCAAACATCGATAAACGAACAATTGTGCAACTGTGAGATGCATCAACTGCTACAAATACACATGTGGCAAATGTACCAGGGACATACCCTGGCAGTGCTAGGTATGTTTCGACAGTGCAGATGGACTGCTGAGTGAGTGCTGAAATGCCAGTCACACAAGGAGGACATGCCACTCACACACACGCAGCCCCCCGCTCTAGAGCATAGTGTAAATATGTGTAGAATTGTTTTATCCCTTGTATTTTTATGACAAAAATAAAAAGCATGGAAACAAATAACGGTTGTTGTTTTTTATATTTCTCATGCTGAAGTTTTAGTCCTCTTGACTTACACACAATTGCTTATGGTCTGTGCTTTTTTGCTCAAAACTAAGCTAAATACTATATATATCAAAACAAAATATGTGTTTCATACAAATTGTCAGTAACCTCAAAATGCAAAGTCTCTTGAGTTGTGTTTCACATGGTGTTTTGAGAATGTCATCTCGGTTTCAAGAAATGAGCCAAACCAATTGAAAAATAAACGGTAAATCGACTTCAATTTGTTCAAAATGTGCAACAACATGCCACCAATATATATATAAAAAATCTTCATATTATAAAATATAATTAAAGCTGCAAGCAGCGTTGAAGGCCCTCGCAGCGAAGTGCCGCTGCGGCCTTACGGCGATCGCGGGAACTCCAGCGACTCTTCCCGGTCACCATCGAGAACGCTCAAGCTACCGTCACGTGCCCGTTCTCCGGAGTGCGCATTCGCCGAACCTTTGACATAAGCTGCGACCGCATATATAACTATTGTAATAATGTAGGGGGCGCACTTGAGTCAAAAGTAAATAACCAATACCTTATGTCTATAAGTGTTCACTAATCACACACCAAAAATCTGGTCCAGATCAAACAAATTTTCACTGAGCTATAACAGTTTGAATAATCTAGGGGGCGCACTTGAGTCAAATATTAAACAACAACAGCTCTGTGTCCAGAAGTGCTCACTAATCAAGCACCAAAAATCTGGTACAGATCGGATGATATATCACTGAGATATAACAGTTTGAATAATCTAGGGGGCGCACTTGAGTCAAATATTAAACAACAAAAACAATGTGTCTAGACATGGTCACACATAATGCCACAAAAATCTGGTGCAGATCGGATGATATATCATTGAGATACAAGTGTTGCAATATTATAGGGGGCGCTGTAGAGTCAAAAGTTAAAAAACATTACTAATGTGTCCATAACTGCTTACTAATGATGCACCCAAAATCTGGTGCAGATCGTATGATATATCATTGAGATATAAGTGTTGGAATATTATAGGGGGCGCTCTAGAGTCAAAAGTTAAAAAA